GTTTTAGCAATGTCTACCTAAATTATCCTTTCACCATGGGTTCATCTCTTTATATAGATCTGAGTTCTATCCAATATCATATCTTATATTATGATAGTTTTTAACAATACATTGTTTTTGCTGTTTTATACTTAAAAAATTCTATTAGTAGATGTTTGTAGTTCATGCAATACACAGTCATCTTGGGGAGTGGTCACATGAAAATTGTTTTTTAAAAAATCCTCTTCCCATTCCCTCCATCTCCTTTCTTCCTCTTCCAATTCCCCTATTCCAGATTCTTGTTGATATTTTAAAATTAATTTTACTGTGACTCTTGATATACACAATGACCACATTCACTTTAGGGAATTTGTACCTCTACATAATACATCTTGCTTCTTCATTTTCCCTATTCCCTTCTGCTCCCTTCAAGCCTCTTTCCCTCCTTATTTATAAAAGCTTTGTTTCTATTTTTCTTCTATGCTCTTTTTTCCTTTTGTTGCTATTATTAATATTATCCTGTGTTATGGCCTCTAATGTTTACATTCATTGTGGTTACCAGTTTCCTGCACATGGCACATCTTTACTACGCCTACTTCCCCTTTTCTTCCTCCTCAGCCCGCACCCTTGTTCCCTTGGTCCTCTTCTCTGTTCTTCTCACAGATAGCTTTGCTGGTAACAAATTCCCTCAATTTTTACTTGTGTGAGAAAGCTGTAGTTTTATGTTTGAAGGATATTTTGCTGGATATTGGATGTCTTATGTTTTCTTTTGGTTTCCTCTCCCCAGTTCTTTTGTTGATCATATAATTTCTGAAGAGAAATCTGATGCACTAGCGACTATGATGTTTTAAGAAGATATTCTAATCTTCCAGCTTAAGAATTTCTTCTTCTTTTGGAAACATGTATGTTGGAATATGGTATGGCTACCTGTGAATTCTTGGTGGCGATCCTGCTTGCTTCTAAGTTTCCAGTATCTATGCTTTTCTGTGTACCATTAATTTTGGAGAATTCTCAGTATTTCCTTATTATTTATTCTGTGCTTTTGTCTCTTCTGTTATTTTCAGCATGTGTATGCTATACCTTTTGTAATTGTCCCAATGTATTCACATACTTGATCTCAATTTTTTTTGGTGGTGCTGGGAATGAAAACCAGGGTCAAGTAAATTACAGGCAGACATTCTCTATTGCGTTCTTTCTTCTTTGACCTTTTAATTCTCTTTTCTCTTTGAATTTGAGTTTTCAAGGATGTTGGTGACATTTCTAGGAAACTAATTCTTTCCAGTGCCTTATCTAGTGTATGGAGAGTCCAACAAAAGTCTTCATGATTTCTGTTATTTTTTATTTCTTTGCTGCATTTCCTTTACCTCTGCCTCTCTGATTGTGTTCCCATTATAAACGCTAGTGTATTAGTCATCCTTGTTTTAAACTTCTAGCTTACTACTCTAAAATGTCTGTTTGGTCTGTCTTCCCAAAACTGAGCCATGTCTCTCAGAATGTGTTCAATCTTTTTCTGAACGGCATGAACTGGATGAAATGAGCAGAGGCAAATCTGCAGGTCAAAGGGTTCTTCTCTATTTGTCTGGCATTTGGCTGTGTGTTGTGTATGCTGCATCTAATTCACAGATTAAATTCCCTAACTGTTCACAGGAATGTTGTAATGCTTTAGCTTCCCTTGAGAGCTCTATTTAATGTGTAATGTGTGTGTGTGTGTGTGTGTGTGTGTGTGTGTGTGTGTGTGTAGTTCTAACACTTTTTCCCCTATGTCATGACATAAGAGCTCTATGGATGTGTTGGCTGTACAGAAGGAAAGGACGCATGCATAGTGCCATGGCTTGGTTGTAAGTTTTACTGACTCTGAGTCTTGAGCTGTGACATTTCTAAGGGATTCTTGGTATCCTCACTACCTCTCTACTTTGTGGACATTTGTATTTTCTTTTTTCTTTCTTTTTTTTTGTCTTTTTCCTTTTTATCAGTACTGGGGATTGAACTCATGACTGCCTGCTTGCAAGGCAGGCGCTTATGCTGCTGAGCTATATCTCCAGCCCCTACACTTGTATTTTCATTGAACCCACAGAAATATGATGGAAAGGAATGTAGCTCTCTTTATAATGGAACATTCATAAGTTATATCCAGAGGAGATGTGTCCTCGTGTTCATCTGATAGGCTCTATGAGCAGTTTCTTTCTGTAACCAGGGAATATGCTGAGTGGACTATGTGGCTATACTCAATGACTGACTGACATGTCTGAATTTTATTGCAGAGAATCATGATGATGAAGACAATAAAAAAAGAACATGAATTTCTGGTCCCCAGCTAACAATACATACATATTCAGGGATCACACTCATATGAGTAAAATATGAAATTCCCAAATGATCGCAACAGATTTAAAGTAGCCATAGATTTTACATGCAAAGGTAGAAAAACCTGCCAGGTGGATGGCATATTCTCACCCAGTGAAGAAGTGTATGTTTTAGCAAGGTGTCCACTGACCTTGAAGTACTCATCTACAATTGAGTAGAGAAAATCACCTTCATAGGTATATCAAACTCACAGAATCTACTCTTCTTTGTTGTATGGTTGAGTTAAGGATATAATGCATATCTGGTTATGTATGGATGGTCTTAGCATATCAGCAGGGCTTTTATACCAAGGAAACTGATCTGACTGAATAAACCCCATCATGTTAATACATAGAATCTTCAAATGCACAAGATCTCTGGGACTCTACAATTTCTAGGAAGCACTGACCATCCTGCTGTTTGTCAAATCAACACTGTAGCAATGGCTGAAGCAATGCCATGGTTTTCTGTGTGTCCTGCATGTACAGCAGCCTTAGACTCCTTTTACATCAGTTCATTTTTCAGCCAGAGCACTGCATATTACCTCCTGCCTCTTGATCTCAGGCAGATGTCTCCTGTGTAATGATTTTCTTTCTCTTTGAAAGTAGTGTCCCTTACCTTGTATGACCACTCCTTTACACCTCTGTCAATATTCCTTGCCATTGTCTTAGTGGATTCAGTTGTATTCTTTATCTTACCAGGATGACACTTGAGGGAGCAAACATAAAAAAAGTCTAGCCAATTTTGCAGCGTTCATTGCATGGAAACCCTAAGTCTTCCTCCCATGACTGCAACCTGTGTAACACCCTGGAGCCTCCTTGGACCACTCTCTTATAGATATTAATGAACTCTCATTTTGCTTGAAGAAACTTGTGAGTCCTCCATTATGAAGTGAATTTCCCTCATCAAAATTTATTTCTTTGGATCCAAGATAAAATTTAAGATACTAACTACAGGAGCAGAAATAATGATGAGATTGAAGTGATTGTAACAGATTCAGCCACCATGGTGCCTGTTCCTATCATAGGTCTGCATAAGCTGACTCTTCCAAGTGGGCATAGCTGAACTGTAATTTATAGGCTTTGCAAATAGTTGACCCTGAGTTGTGAGCTGTCAACAATAGTGACTATCCAAATACTTTTTTCCTATTAATTTTATCACTGGAGATATTACTATCATGGTTCCTCAAATCCAAACCACCACCGTTTTCTCTTCTGAATTGTCTTGTCTCTTCTAAGCTATCATTTCCTGGTAGAATTTAAATACTTCTCAACTGTGTCTGGCATTAATTCTAAAGGCATATCATGAATTTTGACACTTTTCTTTCTTTTTTATTTACCTATTTACTTTTTTGAGACAGGGTCTCATGATGTAGTTCAGGTAGGCCTTAAACTCACTATGGAGTTCAGGCTGGCCTTAAACTAAGAGTGAGTCTCCTGCTTTGGCCTCCTGAGTACTGAGATCGTGTGCCACTGTGCCCACCAAGCCCTGACATTTTCAGCTGTGAATGCAAAGTATTCTCTGAGCATCACCAAAGTTCTTTTTTTTTCCTTTAAGGCTCTATAGAGCCTTAGAAAAAGCTCTATAGAAGTTTTTTCCTTTAAGGCTCCATAGAGTCTGTCTGTTTAGTCTCACTGAATAATCTCTACTCCATGAGTAACAAGCAGCATGTCTAACGGAACACACAGTCAAGCTTACTAAAGTTTTTCTAAAGCAATGTATTATTTAAAATGATTATTAGATTTAGTGTAAAATGCTTAGTGATATTAACTGAACAGATTATGGAGAGCTGGACAGTTACTAAGAAAACAAGCTATCTAATATTTTAGTAGGAAGTAGTAGACTTTCTATGGTGTTCTTTTCACAGAGTCCTGTCCTCATACCAAGATCACTTGTATCTCTGTATCTAACTTGACACAGTATTAGTAGTGGATCATAAGTTAGGCTTATGTTGTGATTATTTGTGTCTGTGTATATTTTCAGATACTCAGGATGCTGAGAACCAAGATAAAGATGAAAAGCTAGTGGTGCCCAGGTGAATCTGAACTTCATAGGCTGTAAATGTAATGGTGACTCTTGGAGATCACAGGCCCTGGGAAAATCAGACATTGCTGTATATTACTGTTCCATCCTTTCTGCCAACCATGAAAGGAATTTGTTTGTTTGGTGCTTCTTCTTTTGATTTGCAACTTTGTTTTCTTTTCATGTATAGCAACCCAGAGTCATTCTGGCCCAAGGTGAACAAATCTTGGTTCTGCCTGCACTTATTTTGAGGCCTTCGGCATTCTGTGGGAGGAAGTTGGGAGGACATTCACATCCTTCTTCTTCTTCAAGTTATGCTTTGGTTTGTTGAATGGCATTCTTTAGCAAGAAACATAACTGGACTCCATAGGTAATTATATTAAATTACAATATTGGGTAAACTGATTTGTGGTATCCACAGTCTCTTGGAGTAGACAAGGCCTTAGAAACCCCTTAATAACAAGAGCCCTGAAAATAACATGGAACACAATGTACTGGGGTTGTGGCCATTGGAAACTTCTCATTGTGTGCCTGCCACACCTGCATTGTTCAGGAAGTGCTAAATCTCCCTCTCATTTGCATGTTCTTATGCCTGTGCACTGAGCACCTGCTGCTCTCTCACCCACCCCCTGTCCTGCTGTAACTCCCATGACAGTCATACCCTGCTTCATTGATCATGTTTCTTCTCTTTGAAGCAATGGATGTCCTTTTTGGGTTTATTGTGCAACTTCCTGTGGTGGATTGATAACTGGTAGTCAACTTGTAAAACCAGCTGAACTGAAATCAGTGCAGTACTGAGTGCATGGCCCACCTGAGGACTGTTATCAAGATAAAAAGGAGAACTGGAGAGGAAGAAGTGTTATTGTTTGTTCTCCATAGTGCTGTTGCCATGGGTTCTCCTGGAGGAGGTTTTGCGCTTCTTTCCTGATAGGAACTTGGCTATTCTCAGCATCAGAGGAGCTCAGGACCTTGTTGTCACTGAGAATGTCTGTGGTTCACTTTGGCAGAGCTCTAGTATTTATCACTTCCTGGCTGCAGAGGGTAACATGTATGCTACTCAGTCTCCAGGAGAAGCTTTCTGACATGAACTCAGCTGTCCTTATTGTCAGAGGAGTGCAGGACCTCAGTGTCACTGAGGATGGCTGTGATACTTTTCGAAGGAGTTCTGGTTCTTACTTTGAGCATCATTTCCTGGCTCCAGTGCACAAATATCAACCTTTATGACTCAGGTCCTTCACCCTACTGGTGCAGACTTCCTACTTCCACCGCTGACCTTTGGGCCTTCCTGGCTCAGTGGAGCAGTCTTGCATGAGTCATTGTTAGGGGTTTTGGGCTTCCAGCTGGACTAGTGGGGGGCATTGTCAAGGGCTCTAGGCCTTCAGCTGGACTCATACAAGACATTGCTATAGGATCCAGACTCTCAGCTGAGTTACTTGAGTCTTGGTGTCTGGACAGATTTCCTGTACTTTTTGTATTTAACTCTGGGTAACCATTATAAAATAATACTCTAAGTATTGTGTACTGTATGTAATTGTTTTCCTTGCAAACCCTTGACTACAAAACTCCTGCTTAGTCTTCATATCAGGACCAGATAAGAAATTGTGTGGTCTAGTCTTTCATTGTTTAGTTTTTGTTTTCCATACAGCAATCTCCAAGAAAAGGATGATAAGAATAATGTGCTGCAGGACAAAATGGATGAGAACTTGCCTGCTACCCATTGCCAGGATTTGTGTGATTCCCGCCGGCCTGGCAAGAGTCATGCGTCCCTGACTGAGGAGCTCATAGCTCCCTCAACCGGAATGTGGCGAGTGAGTCACCCACTGCAAAGTGAATAAGGCTCCTTTTGGTCTCCTCATTGTCTCCATACCCTTTATTCTCAGGCTTCCATGTGGGTAAGGCTTTTTCTCTGCAGGCAGGCTTTAGATGTGCACCATGGCTTCTGTCCAGTTCTACAGTAGGGTTGGCAGCACAGAAATTCAGTTCATCAAGCACCTGATACTCTTTTTCATCTGGAATGCTGTGCTGTATAGACCACCTCCAAGAACATGGAACCTTTTCATTGCTTACATCAAGGATTCACAGGAGGCAAGGACTCAGAAGCTGCACTCTGACATTCACCTCCTGCATCAGTGGCAAAGGATCCTGTGCCTGAAGGAGCACCTAGGGTTTTCTCCTGTGGAAGCATTTCTGTATTTCTTCTCAGTCTAATCTCAATGTTTACTAATATATGAAAAATATAAATAAAGTGCTTGACAGCTCAAGTTAGTCAAGGGGTCTGAAGCATATAGTTAGGAAAATTTCCTATGATTTCAAGGAAAAAGTATGATAAATAGTTTTTCAAGAATGAGGAATTGTGTTGTTGTTTTATTCCTTTTGCTCTTCCTCTTTGTTCATTTTTATAGGCTAAAATGATGTTTTTATATTTGCCTATTTTTTTTAAGATATCAATTCTTTGGTTTTTGTTTTCTTTTACACTGATGGAGTTCGAACTCAGGGCCTCCTGCTGCTAGGCAAGTGTTGTACCACTGACTAATAACACGAATCCTGTTCATTTTTCTGTGTTCATTTTCTTTTCTTTTGCATCTTACACTTGGAATACCATGTCGCCATTTCTTCAAGGCCTCAAGAGCTATCTCTAGTCTATAACAAGTTCATCTAGGCATTCTGTGTTACTGTGCTGGTTGCTGCATTCATAATACTTCCTTTCAGTTCTCTTTCTCTCCCTATCTTGCCATTGTCTATTTTTCCCATTGGAGGTGTTAGCTTATTAATAATACTGTTTTTAACTTTTTGCTATGATAACTCGAAATGTCTGCTTAGTCTTTCTCTAATATCTATCCTTTTTATCATGAGAAGTCTTCAATTTTTTTTCTTGGAACCCACAAGATTAAATGGATGACACCAATGGAAATAAATCTAACATTTAGGAAACTTTTCTGTTTTTTTCAGGTGGGTTTAAGCTGAGTTTTGTGAACGTTGCAGGTAACTTGCCACAGACTATATCTCCTTGACGTTTTAAAATTTTTGCCTGCTCTAGTGTCTTAGTTTCTTGTGGTAGTTTTGATTGACGTCCGTGTCTGTAGTCCTTTCAGCTTTATTCATGGGTTATGGCATTAGAGTGCTGTTGAGTGTTAGTATGTTTGGAAAGAGACAAAGCATTGCACAGTACTCTAGCTTGTACTCTGGTTTTAGTGAGCTTATGCCCAGGGCTGTCATGTATTGTAAATGCTTCCCAGTATTCCAACTATCTTTCCAATGTATATGCACCTTTCTGTAATATCATCAGACCACCAGTAATGTGCTTGGGAGAGTGTAGTGCTATTTGCAACAGACTTCTCACCTGGTTCATCCAAAGAAATGGAATCCTCATGCTCATGGAACAGACCCCACATAGGTATACTGGTTCTGTGTTTTGGGAGATGATTATGTTTATAACAGGTGACTTGCATATACTCAATGGTTGAATGAATATTTCTGAATTCTGTTACAGAAAACCAAGACAATGAAGACAATGAAAAAGAACAGGAATTTCTTGCTTTCAGGTAATAATTATTGAAGTTCTGCATTATGGTGAGTAATGTATGTCCAGGAGAAAAGAAAAAGATCAGCTGTAACCATAGATTTTATGAACAGAAGTTAACAAGACTGCTGGTGTGATTACATACCTTTGATTAATGAAGAAATAACCTCTTTGTAGAAGGCATCCATTTTCCTTTAGATATACATTTGTACACCTAAAAACAACCAATCTGCTTATTAATATTTAACGATACAGAATGTATTCTTCTCTGTTCATAGAGCAATTGAGGATAAGATGCATGTCAGGTTCTGTATGGATGACCTTATCTTGTTGGCAGGGACTTCTTACCAATGAACATAACAAGATTAAAGACACTGATTGTGTCACTATATATACAGGAAGTATCTGGAATACACAGACATCTTGGATTCTATGGTACCCCAGAAGCACTGAGTGTTTTGCTGTATGAAAACTCAGCACAGATTAAAGAAAATGTGGAGCCACTGGTTTGGTTTTACGTGTCTGGTTGTGGGATACAGAGAGCCTTAGGACTCCTTCCCTATCAGTTCATTTTTTAGTCAGTGCACTGGCCATGTGTGCTTGTCTCCCTCCTTCAAGGCAGGTGGACTCTGTTCTCCTCCTAGAAGGATAAACTTCTCTATGTTTGAAGTTAGCACACCTGCTGTTGTGTGACCACTCACTTATACCTCTGAGAGCCACCAAGATATCTTATATTCAATTTTTCTTGCTTTAGTGATATTCTTTATCCCACCAGGCTGAGCACAGAGGCAATCAATGAGGAAAAAGTAGCAGAAATCCTGCCAGACTCATTAGGTGAAGGCCCTGAGACATCCGGCCATCACTACGATTTAACTGACATCCATGAGCCTTTCTGCACTGCTACTGCACTATCACATGCACATGAAGTCAGATCATCTCTGGATGCAGCTCGTGAGTTCTTATTAAAAAAACTGCATATATACCACCAAATTTTCTGATAACTGAATGGAAAATTCAATGTGGTATAATATTACTGCTCTCTTCTCACTTTATTTGCAGAAAATGTTCAAGATTGTAAGGATGAATCCCCACTGCTAAAGATCTCCAGGTAATTCACATTGCAAGATTTCTAATGCTAACTAAGATCCTATTAAAAAGACTTTTAGGAAATACAATCTGCTGAGTGTATCTAAAGAAACCTCAAAGCGTGTGTTGCATTTGATCTCAGCCAAAAGGCAGAGAAGTAATGTCAAAGTATATGTTGACGTGGCTCACATTGCTTGATTTTATGATATTTAATGTTATATCTTACTATTATCTTAAATGACCTAAAATAGAATTCAGATGAACTGTGCATGCTCATGAATTGCAAAATTTTTGTGTATATGATGTTCGTCAACTTTATGATCAACATTAGAGAGAGATACATGTGTAGTCTTTGCAGTTTCATTTTATAGTTTCTCTTCACAGTTTTCTCTTCACTGGAAATATAAACAAAGAAAAATTCAAGAATATGTAAGTACTATGTATAGAATGGCTCAGGAATTCACTTGCTTTTGTATGTAACTATTCAAAAAACTTTATGCACTTTATTCTGCATGTGGCAACCTTCTATTTGAAGGAATCTCTTGGATGAATTCAAAGTAATCTTTCCAAAGCCCTTATCAGTTACCTTTACCCCATTTACACTGTTCTTGTTTCCTTTCTACCTCCCTTAGGAAATATTTTGTCATAATTCAGGATCATGCCAAGAAGATGACTCAGTTACATGAGCAGCTAGGCAAAGGGAGAGATGCCTCTTTGTCCCTTGAGCACCATCTGGAGTTTCTACTGATCCACGATGACCCTGAGGACTATCAGGGTCAAGGCTACATACAACAACTGGCTCAGGGGTGCAAGATGGCTTCGAATCTTGTCCTGGTGCTCAGTGAAGGTGAGGGCAACACATACCCTGATTAAAATGAGCTGAGTCAGGGAGATAACCATTTCTTGAAGAGGAAGGGAAGCAAGAAATGGAGATAAATTTCTCTGTCTTTACCTTCAAAGAGAGAGGGGAGTGACAAGGGAGTGACAGGGGATGAAAAAGCAACTAAGATGTATCATATATAAGTACCAAACACCCACAAAGATGCAACATTATGTCTTCCAAATATGGACAAAAAAGGGATGAGGATCAAGAGATGGAGAAGGGGAGGAAGTGGTGTGACAGGGGATGAGGAGTGGAATGCAGAAGTCATGTGTGCAAGTATACAAGGATGTAAACATTTTGTGCCACACAGATACTAATGAAAAATATGACCTGCTTCAAGTTCCAGACCACTCCACATTCCACAAGTTACATTTTCCCAGGTGTAGCTACTCACATCTCATTTGGGCTGTGACAGTAACAGGACTCCCTGGGTAGAAGAGAAGAGAGACATCCTGTGGTGGAGGCAATATTAAAGGACACGATACCATTTGCTGGAAAGAAAAATCTTTGACAAATCAAGAGGGCTTCAAGCCTCTATCCCTGGTGCTGTCTTTACTATATGTGTGGGTGGGGTTTGAGCTATTTGAAAATTTCTGTTTCTTTGTTCAGTGGTAACTTGCACGACAGCAGTCACAATGAATTTGGAGATATTTACTAGTGTACTTTTAAAAACAATGAAGCCCTGTATGTTGGGTGAATTAGGATTGGGACATGGAGGAACTTGGTGTTGGGAATGTGGGTGTACAGTGAAATACTTTCCCCACAGAGTATCTTCCTGGAGAAGACTATAGAAGCGGCTTTGGCACTAAGTGGGCTGCTGAGAAATGCACAGAGGCTTGGGTCTTGGCTTTCTGGTATCTTCTTCAAGAAGGAAGTTTGCTCAAGAGAGCCATAAAGGGACAGATTCTGTGTCTGGGTTCCAGGCTTGTCACAAAAGGGAGGACACAGTTGAAATCTGTAGGGAAGTTATACTTGTATCTGATCACCTAAGGAACAAAAAGCATTTTTAACTTTTCCTACTTTTTGACAGAATAAATATCCTGTCATATTAACTCCTCAAATCAAGGTTAATTTATCTAAGTGATCATAATAACAAACCAGATGTATTATTTAAAGACAAAGCATAGGACCATTCAGCATACTTCTCGTAGTATATCCTAAAGTCACACTTAAGTATTTTTGTCGCTATGCCCATAGCAACACAGGCATGGGTGGTCCAGTGCTGCTCCATTTCTGACTGTATGTTTCTGAACTGGCAGAAATAATGAATGGGGAAATAATGAAAAAGAAGAAACAGAGCTTCTTTCTAAAATGGATGATCAGGATGAGTAAGATATACAGGGTCACTGAAGCACCAAGAGGAATATGAATCACATTCATGATGCAAAGGGGAATGTAAACTTCTGTTTTTAGCAGTTTCATTCCACCAATCCACCTTGCCAATGTCCTTTTTGCAAATTTCTATATTATTATTATGAAGAGGAGTTGGTTTGAGTAAACTTCAGAGGTTTCTTGTTATCCTAGATCACTCCTGTCCTCTTGTGTATGGTCATATTTACCTTACCTTGAGGTGACTGTCAGAAATTTCAGTCTGAAAGGCAACTAGGGGAGAGCCAGTCCCAAGCCTCTCTGTGAGTTAGTGCCATTTGCAGACTGTGGAGGGATAGAACCTGACCCCACAAGGAGGAGATCCCTATTTTCAATGTTTTGTTGGGTTTTTATTTTCTTTTGTTTTGTTTATGTAACTCTGATTGCATGAACAGCTGTTTACAAGATAAAAAGACATGTTATGGAAGCCATTGTGTATTTACTACTGGCTTGTTTTGGTGTTCTTTATTGCCTTCATTGTTTCGTTTTTATTGTCTCTATTAATTTTTAATATGTCTAAAGGTGGTGTCTGTAGCTATTTTGAAGACAACAAAGGCATTGTGGTAATTATTGTTAATTTCATGAGGTTTGGAAGTTCTATATCATTTATAATGTTTTATTTTGATTGATTTTGTTTTATTTTTCTTGGTTTTATACTCTTTAAAATAAAAAAAAGAAAGGCAATTGTGCGAGTGTACAATTCACATACTATGCATATATTTACAAATAGATGCAACAGTTAATATTCATAGGACTGGATCAAATTTTATATGTTTGTGTCTGGTGATCTGAGGAAACCTTGAAGATCACTATGTAAAATAATAACCTTACTTATGTTCCTACCACTTTCTTTTGAAGGTCTATATTGTCATTGTTTTGAGTTCTTTGCTATTGCTATTTATTTGTCTTTTTTTGTTCTTGTTTTTCATTTTTGTTGTACTGAGGATTGAACTTGTGACCTTGCATTTGCCAGACAGGAATTTATGCCACTGAACTACATCTCCAGCTGTTTCTTGTTTTTCTAGTGATTTTTTTTATTTTTCCCTGCATAATAGACGTACATGTAGAGATTTATACATGCCTAGAACTTCTAAACAATTTATGAGAATTGATTGTATTATGGGTGATACGAACAGTTACTTTGAAGAAAAAGAGACATTATGGTATCCATTGCTGATTTTTCTGTTATCATGCTGTGAAATCTAGTAATGCTTTTATTCTTTGTTCAAAGCGGTTTTAACCTGTTTTGTATTATTTAATTTCAACATACATGAAGGTATGGACAGCTATTTTGAAGAGAAAAAGAGACACTACAGTAACCATTATTGACTTTCCCATTGTCTGGTTTTGAATGCATGTTATTCATTCATTATTTTATTTTGATCAGTTTTATACTATTTTGTTTTGTGTGAATTCATTGTGTGTGAAGATACAGGCAACCATTTAGAATAAAACAAGAGACATTGTAATAGCCAATGTTGATCTCCTGCTGTCTTGCTTTGAAATTCTGTATCACTTACATTTTTTTCTTGTGATCTTTGTTTTGTTTTGTTTTACCCTCTTTAGAATAAGAAAGATGTATGTATATATATGTGTATTGTATCACAACTTTCAAAGACAGAGAAAGCATAAGAAGTATGGGAATGTATAGGTCTCCAGGAGCTACCTTGACTATTTGACATTCAAAACACTGATGCACTGTTGCCAAACATGTGCCAGGTTTATGTTTTGAAAGTTTTAACATGATATTCTCAGAGAAATTTCTCCCAGTGGCCTATTGACCTGTCAGTCATTGAGCTCTAATTACATATATTCACTCTTTATTATACTTTAGGGATTTAAATTTTCTAATTGGAGTTCAGGCCCGAGACTTGACTAAATTAAGGCAGAAATTGGAGGAAGGATGCAATACTGCCTCCACGCTCCATCAGAATCTGAACAGTCTCCTCTCTGCCAATGACCAACACAGATGCCATATGAAGAGTCTCAGATACAAACTTGTTGAGGGGTGCAAGCTGGTCAATTGTCTGGCCCACAAACTGAGCCCAGGTGAGGTGGACACAGGCCCTGGTTAACCCTGTCCTAACGCCAGGTGCTCACTTCCTAGGAGACACCGTTACACCAGCATTCTTTATATCTGTTCTCCTCCTATCTGCCTTTTAGCAGTTTCATTCCCACTTGAAGTCTTGGCAGGAGGAACTAAGCACCCATCCAGCATCTTCCCAGGAATAGGATGTGGCAGGTGGAGTCATGACAGATTGATAACAGCCTGTGATATGAATAAATGTTTTCTAGTTATCCTCATACTGATTTTATTGTGAATTATAGGATGATTGATCCTTCCTGGAGTTTTGTTTCTTCACCTCTAAAATGCTCATAATATGTGTTGTATGATAGTCATAGCATTAGAACAGGGACGTTTAATCAATATCATAGCAGGTGGATGATGCCGTTCAGAGTAGTAGAATGCAGTGCTTCAATGTCGGGAAAATGAACACTCAGCAGGTAACTTAGGCAAAATTTCCTTTAATTAAATGATAAAAGCCCAATGGACGATCCTAGAAAGTTCACAGACTTATGAAGTATTGTGTGGCAGAGTTGTTTCTCCTGGCCTTAGCAAAGAGAGTAGATTGAATGGGAGAGCACTGGTGAGGTACCATGGAGCTATAGGTCCCATGAACCAGCTATGTGACATGAAGGAGGCGCAGCTGGAGAAGCTCAGGGGTAGCTGGATTTCTCCAGTGTCTCTTCATTTGAGGAATAAAAAGTCTTTTCCCCTTTGCCCACTGGAACCTCAAGGATTCCTCTAGGAAAATCCATCAGCTAGAGGTCTTTAGTGTCCTGTTTCAGAATACCTTAGTAGGCCACTTTTTAAAGGCAAACATAACATTTTTCTAACCTCATATATGCATAACATTTGTCTTTTCACCAAGATGGCCCACTCATCAAGATGGCCCAAGACTGGGTGAGATAAGCTGTCAAATGTCTGAATTAGATATTTTGAATTTGATTGCAGGTAATCTAGATGATGAGGATGAGGATGATCAAATTACCCTGGATTCCAGGTAAGAGCGAACAATCAGGGGCTCATAAGCAAGTGTGAAATTGAGTGGGTTTTGCAAAAGTAAAGACCATGGGATCGAAATAGTTACAAATTTCCAGAAATGCCATGTCTCTTTTGCAGTCCTTACTACTTTCTCCATGGTACTGACAGTATGAATCTGATTCATAAGGAGAATTAGGCAGCTATGGGGATTCTTACCCTTTAAGAAACGACTTGTTCAGTGTAGGAGTGAAATCAGAACAAAGTGCATGTTTTGTTTCTGTATTGCTGGAGTGAGGCTATGACATGTGTGCCAACGAAAAAGAAGAAGGAACCAGCCTAGCCCATAAAGAAAATAATGTCATGTCACAATGTTACTATGTAGTTTAAACTGGCCTTGATCTCACTATGTAGTCCAGGCTCACCTTGAATTTGCCACCATCCTCCTGTCTCAGCCTTTTTGAGAGCTAAGATAATAGGATGTAGCACTGCTTCTGGCTAGCAAAAGTTTTGGGAAGTGGAATTTTGTGAATTTACCAAGTTGGAACCTATGTTGCCTGGACCCCTACAAAATTAAACATTGTGTAGGCACAAGATTGAGCCCCTGAAATGGTTCTCCTTGGTTGTTCCCTCTCATCACTCTACCTTCCATGCACAGTTTAGTATTTTTCCTCATCACCTTATTATCTATCCAGTTCACTGAGAAGTGGTTGATCTTTCTATGTTTGTATCTGTTGGTCATCTGTCTGCATGTCTCACTCTTATGGCAGAGAAGCAATGTGCAGTACAGGGGTGCATCGTTTCCTTCATCCTTTTATTCATACTTTTGAAATTCACCCTTAACCTTTGATTGGCAACTAGGAGGGGGGGCTGTGTATTTTTGTCCATCTCAATGAATCTTTTATTCTGCTTTCTCTCATTAGTGTATGTGAGGAGGAAGGAAATTAAGTCCTGTCAGATTCATTAGATGATGAATCTTTCCATCCTTCCTATTATCCCGATATGCTGACCCACAGAAATGTGCAAGCAGCACCACTTTCTCATCACATAAGCCTGAAGACTGCTCTGCCATGGATGGGCCCAGTAAGTAGTTAAATTATCCTACAGATAAGTCCAGCTCATCTGTCAAGGGACTTCTGTGCTCTGCTCCTCTGTCTTTTGTGAGAGTCACCTATAGGAGGCCCAGGAGGCCTGTTTTGGCATAGACAATGTGCAGAGGTCAGGTGTGTCGGGTGCTTCACTGTCTGACTGGGAGTCTGGAAGCCTAGAGCACATTTTGCTCAATGTGTAGGTCGGTGGATTGGTGAGTGAAGACAGAGGAAGTGTGATTTTTTGCTGCCACCCTTACTGTCTACACACAGCTGGCACAGAGCTCAAGTTAAAAGAGTGGTCATTTTCTTGCTTCTGTGATTTTCCTGGGAGTTGAATTCACAACCAGTTCCTCCAAATTTCACTGGACATCCACACAGCCCTATTTGTACAATTATTTGGGAGGCCTATTTTTATTTTCTGACTTCCAACTCACATTTTCTGCCTTCTCAGAGGTTGCTTTCCTCCAAATTAAGTGCCTAGTTTTTCATCTTCCACCCAGGCTATGGTTCCTTCCATAGCCCATGAGTCACACATGTATCCAAAGGCTCAGTGTGATCACACATGCCTATAATTCCAGTACTCAGGAGGCTGAGGCAAGAGGATAATTTGAAGTTTGAGGCAAGTTTGGGATGCACAGTGAGACTGTATGTGCAAGCTCACAGATGCAGGCTTATTGTGCAAGACCTGTGTAGGGCTGTTAAGTTTGTTTCCTTTCCTACAAAGGACAGGGAGAAGCAGTCTATATCAAATAGAGGCTGTTCCCTCAGGCACAGATGCTTAGCAAACCCTTCAGTCTGAGTGTACAGTAGGTTTAATTGATCCCATCATTGAGGATAAGACTCCCTGGGGACTTGTTTAAATCTATACTGTTCTTAGTAGGAAGTGCATGAAGACAGGGCTGGAAGTTTGGACACACTGAAGAAATAAACCTTGCTAAAACTGGTAACTGATAGTACATATAGTAAAGACATCCAGATTCAGACCTTTGGAGTTCTAGGAGAGAACAACAGGTGAGTTTAGTTACATCATTGGGCTCCGAAGGACGGCTCCCAGATGACAGGAAATGGCTGTGATCATGTATATTCTGATTTCAGAGCTCCCAAGATGTCAGGTTGACAGTGAACTTGTCTCATATATATATGAAAAGAAACTGTGGGATGCACCAGGAGTCATTGGAGAGATTCTTGCATCAGTGATGCCTGTCATCCTTCCAACTCTTAACATCCTTTTTTCTGTTGTTGTCAATGTTTTTAATAAAGAGGTTTGTTGGTTTAAGATGTTTCACTTTTGAACACAACTTGAAAAATCTTACTGAGTGTCCAGAGTGACTGATAGTGAATGATGAATAAACTTTGTCTTGAGGAAACATGGAAGACACACCAGATCCACAGTATCACTACAGACAAAGCTGTGGATGTGGGAGGACACTAGAAGCTTGACTAGGGTCAGAGAGGGGTCATTCTGAAACTTAGGAGTATTTGGTAAGGGAGTGATGAGCAGCACTGTCAGATAAGTACATGGGGCTGGAAATTAGAACTATTACCATATGATGAGGTGTTAGTCATTTAGTGGTCAATGCAGAGAAAGCTTTCAAGGGTAGTTGTGTGATCAAAGTCAGAACAAGGTTTGGGATAAGAAGAGTGGTGTGGCTGATTCCAAGACATGTTTATAGTCAGCTAATCTGGAGTCTGAGGTTGAAGGCTTGGTTGAGCCTTGGAGACTGAGACCATCACAGATGGGCACACATTGAGCCCACTTCTCATTTAAAAAAAAAGAAAGGAAAAAATCAGTTGATACAGTTGATAGTGCAGAGATTGCAGAAGCAGGGAAGGCACTGAGGAGAAAGTGTGGGTTCAGACACAGTGAAAAGAGTCTGATACTATTTGTGGTCAGAAAGATAAAGCAGAGCAGATATTGGGAAGACAATGTTAAAAAAAGAAATTAAAAAAAAGGAAAAAGAGAAATAGACATTAGTCAGAATGAGGATACGTAGAAGGAAGAGGCAGAGGAGCTCATAGCAGTATTCAGGAGGCTTTGTTGGCCGTGACACCGCCTGAGCAAGACCTGGTATGGTATGAGGCTCTTGGAAGCTCCGACTTACTGAGATCATCCATTCATTTGCTTGTGGAAATATAACCAAGTTACATTAGGGAGAATTGTCCAGACCCCATTGGAAGGATATATAAGATAAAGATATCCTACGTGGTGTTACTCCTAAGAAACAGTAAATTCAGATTGTGTATCACATACCTAAAGCACTAGTACCCTGACTTCCATGCTTATAGCCGCTGTCAGTCTGTTGCAAACACAGTAAATATGCATGGATAGGTGACAAAATGTCAGACAATAACCAGTTTACAAGATTTCAAAATCCTGAAAAGTTCCCATGATTTGGAACATGTTCTATAGTTACTCCCCTTTTTTCTGGTACCCCAAGCCTTGAAGCTCTATGTATTTTTATGTTCTTCTCTATGGATAGAGATCAACTACTCTTCCTCATCCATATGCTGCATACTCTATAGAACCTTCTTTATAGGAGAAAGGACTAGGGTTAGTAATAGTAAGATTATAGACATGAACTTACCTATCAATTCAAAGCCATATTGTTTGGGTGGGTTGACTATTCATTTAGGGACACTCATTCTGGCCGCCTATATCTAATAATTCCCAAGGAGGATGACACCTTCTTTAAATGTATGATGTCTGTATCACTGATTAGATCACTAAGTGGTTTCCCTAACATGCAGGGATATTAGTGACGCGTGTTCTCAAAGATGTTACTAAGGTAGAATTGTGATTTTTATACTGAACCCTTTTCTCTTGTTAGCTACTATCAAAGTGACCTGTGCCCAAAGGCTGTCAAATGGAGAGTTAAGTTCCCACTTCTCAAAGCTACAAGCTTGCCAGGCAAGGGTGTAATCATGCACCCAGGGAAACCCTTGTTTGGGAACACAGCTGTGTCAGTACTTGGACTAAAATGACTACAAAGTCAGACTGAACTTTTCTTCTACTACTTGGAGCTTTGCAGTACACACTAACCCTGGTTACGGGTGCCAGCCATTCCAAGATATGGAGAGAAGGGGAAATGGAAAACTCTATTCTTTGTGTTTATGTCAGGGATTAATGGCTGGAAGGGAGAGTGGGTTTGTCTATTTTTTCCTCTGGGACAGTCTGAACTATCAGGCTCTCTAGCATCAGTAGCTTGTTTAGGACTAGCTATGGTCTCAGAACCTGGACTTGCCGCTATTGATTGTAACAGGCTATACTATTTGTCTTCCTAGGTAGTTATGTCTAATTTCCTTATGTGAGACATATAATGTAATTCATATCAGATACATTCAACCTGTGGCCTGTTAATTGGACATAAGTGATTTACAATGACTATTTTATGGTATCATTAACTTAACAAAATTTTAATAGTACTTGACTCAATTAGAAATTTTTAGTCATAGCTTTGAGTGTGTGTAGTCAAATACTTAGATTACTCTAGTGATTTAACACAAGATGATTTTACTAGGATTTTTAAACCTGGTTAGAGAAAGTTTGCAGTATCAGTATAAACTCTGGGCCCACATCTCTGTGTCCTGACATATGCAGCTAATTTTTCTACTTTTTCCTCTGTTGTAAATGAAGTGCAGTGTCTGCACATAAAGCACAGAGCCAATCTTCTTTATTAAACCCCGGTTATCCCAGAATTCCCCAATGGCAAGGTCACACTTACTTTTCTGTCCTAAGGTTATCATTATGTTATATACTTGCTATGTATTGGTTTTTACCAATCTTATTTTTCTTGAAATTTTTGTAAATTGAGAATACTTTAACCTCAAAATTCTCATCATTACTCTATATGTAAGAAATACCAATATAAAAGAAAATATCAGAGTCTTATGATTTGTGTCTAGATATCCCCCTAAAACCTCATGTTGTCCTAGATGACGCTTTTTCAAAGGTATCAGGACTATGTTGAAGTGGGAATTGATTCATGATGCATTGCTAGAATCTAAGGTACTAGGATCACTAGGATTAAGTGTGTGAGTGCTACCTGTTCTAAGTAACCTGGATAAAATATAAGGGACAGAAAGAGCTGAGGTTGTTACTTGTTGATTTGCTACCTTTTTACCTTCCATGAATTGTTTCTCCTCTGTGGTGCCTGTCTACTGTGCCACCCTATCTGGGAGAAAGCTAATTAGGGACTGAAACTGCGAACTAAATAAACCTTCCCATCTTTAACTTTAGGTGTCGGGCATTTTGCTCAACAATGAAAGAAAAGTAACTAAGACACAGGTCTCTATACTTTTTCTTACCCCCTTGGATTTCCTTGTCCAAAATACTTTGGGTGGAAGAGAGTACATCCCAGCAAGGTCGTAGATAATGGAGGATCATGATGACTGTGGTTTTATTTTCAGAGCTGAATTTGGATGCCTGACTTGAAATGAAGACTCCTCCCAAGTTGGAGAGTGATGCTTTCCAAGGTTCGCCTGTTATCACTGATGAACTTCCTATCTATGGCCTCTGTAATACTGACAGTGTCCTGAAACAGAAGATTATTGAAAGAAAACTATGGTTATGCAACTGGAAAATAGCTTGCAGATTCCCAAGCTTTCAGGCTACTTTAAATGCTTCCCATGGAATGCAGAATCCTCCCAAGGTGATGCCTTTGAAGGCTTAGCTGCAATCATTCATGAGTCTCCAATCCATGGTCTCTGTGATGCTGACAGTGTCCTGAAACAGAAGATTATTTGGAAGTCCTGTAATGTTTACAATCTTTAAGTTTTATTGGTCTTGTTCTCTAAGTTTTTGTTCACCTTTATAATACCTAATGAGATAGACAATTCTTTTTAAGGAAACAAGAGACATTATGGTAACCATTGTTGATAACCTTGTATTCTGTTCTTACATCACGTACTATGTCTATCCTTGGTTTTAACTGACAGCTTTGTTTTGCCATATTTGACTTTATTCTCTTCCAAAAATAAAAGTAAGAAGAACTAAGGAGTAATAAAATCCAAAATGTATAAATTTTGTTGTAAAAAAAGAGGGAAAAATAGTGCTCTAAAGGATACAACTGCAAGTGTGTTTAGGGGTGTTAAATAGCTGACCATATTAAAAAAAAGAAAGAAAGAAAGAAAGAAAGCTACAGTTATGCAAATGGAAAATGGCTTGCAGATTCCCAGGCTTTTGTTCTTAAGTTGCACAGGAAACCACATTTGTGGCTTCGGACACTCTTATTAACACACTCTCTAGGATTGAAGCTCACTCTACTAGTGTTGTTTGTCCTCATAATTTATTCCATCCGGTATTCAACACAACTTTTGTACTGTTGCACCACTGTTTTCCATGGCTTGGTACCCTAGCAGAACTATTTGTTTTCATCTGCCGTTCAGACTCTGAACTCTGTTCTGTTGGTACTGCTGCTGTCCAGTCGTCACCCCATCACAGGAAAGACGCCTTTTAAACTCTGGGAAATGTGTCGTGTTCCTGAAATCAGATACATTCTGGCTCTTTTGCCTTGTCTTCCAACCCTCCCTACCTCTGGTAGCATTTTGATCTAACAGCACAACTTCATTAACCAATGCACGAAGACTCTCCTCTTTGGCCTGATTAAGGGATCCAGACTAAGTCAATCTTTAATTCTCAACTTAAAGATGCAAATGACGAGTGTTAAAATTGATGAGAAACACTTCTTCTCACAAAATCTAAATTGAAAACATGGCTCTACAAGGGAGAATCATCTTGGTCTTAAGACAGTTTTGCCTCCTCACCTATATATGCAGCGATAAAATATTCATAGAACACATAAGTTAGTATAAAGGCATAGACTATGATCTGTTTAAGCATTGTTTGTTTGTTTCTTATTGTTCCCATTTCTACTTCTGTTCATTCAGGTAAGAGTGCAAAATGCAACTCTGCTATATCCAATGCCTGCCGATATAAGAGAGCACTTTAATGAACTAACTTTGAGAAAAGTGAAGCCAAAAACCAGCTTTACCTCTTAAATGGTCAGAGTACCCTTTGAGCATCAGTGTTTGTAAAAGGTCTCAAAACATCTTTAAATTAGAGGGACCATTGGTCTGCTTCATCTCGAGTCATCAACATGGAAGTGCTCAAATGCTTAGTTCCTTCACTACAAAGGCTGAAGATCCAGCAGCCGTGGAGAGAATTTGCATTCCTTTCTCAACAAGACTGTATAGCATGGAAAAAATTCCAAGGAAGAGCATGCAGATGGATACATTAGACTGTAGCCTCTCTACTTAAAGCACAAATGTGTATCTCTTTTAAAATGAAATAAAATAGGAAATAGGTGGTAATAATTGTATTGAAATTCACTATCCAAAAGCAGTACCTACTTCTGTTGCACATAGTGTAATTTAGTATTTATCATTTTAAAATATAAAATGCAGGGCCAGGGATTTAGCTCAACAGCACAAGTGATTGCATGGTAAGCCTGAGGTGAGTTTGATCTCTGGTGTGTGTGTGTGTGTGTGTGTGTGTGTGTATAACCATACTAACTACGTAGCACTTTTATTAGATTAGCGCTACAATTACAATGCTTTATGTTTGGCCAGTTATTTACCTCAAGTAAATTCCGTAGATAAAACCCTTTGATCTTGCTCCCTGCAAGTAAATATAACAAATACTCAAAAGTGAATCTCAGCACATGATTGTTCATTTGCTCTTTGCTTTGCCATTTGTGACATTGGCATGAAATATCAAGTAATAATCTGTCCCATAGAAGCACTTTAGGCAACAACATTACTGAGTGGGCAGAGTATAGTCAAACATAATGTAATTTATTTTCATTTCAGAGGCTTTTACATAGAGATCTTGAAAATGTATATAGAAACACACTCTATGTGACAGGGTATGCAGTCACTTTCAAAGACCCAGAGGAGAAGAGTTGGGCTGTGGTTATTCTCACTGTTCTCTCATGGCTTGCTCCTCTCTGGGGGATTCCTTTTTCTCTTTTATGCACCTTGAAATGACACTCGGATTCTTTCCCAGGTGATCGGAGTTCATGGAACAAGATCATAGCCTCCCTTCCTCCGTGCTCAAGGAAAGGGCCTGAGGCTGTGGCTCTAGATTCAGGGTTGTTGAGACAGGTGACTGTGACTTAAGTTAATGCTTCCCTACACCCCACATCCTGTGGCATCACTGTTTCCTGGGGCTGAAAGTTTTATGCTGTCTGCGGTTCCTGTTTCCCCATGCCCAGTCACTTTTCACTGGTATGGGATGTGAGGTCAAGATGGCATGTTTCTCTGCAGAGAGTCCATTCCTTCCGGCAGATGTGTTTCTGAATGCATAACATAGATGAAGAGTATTCATCACAGGGAGATGGAAATACACTCTCTGTGTTCCCAGCAGAGGATCAAAAGGAAAGTGGCTGGTGTCAGCAGCCTTTGAGTGGGGCAGACCAGGGACCCTATGTTCTCCTTTTCAGGGTGGACTGCATGTTTGAGAGGCTCTCCTGTACCCAGTGCATGTGACCTCCCCTTCCACCAGGTTAAGACCTAGGCCTGTAGTGAGTTCATCTTCCCCCAGGAGACCTGCTGAGTCCTGGACCCTCTCACCACTGAGTGCAACATCCAGGACTGACTATCATCAGGCCCTGACCACGACTCTTGCTTGATTTCTCTCACCCTCTCTCAGGAGCTAAGTACTGCTGAAAGGAAAAATGATATTGCTGATGAAGAAAATCAAAACATTAAGTGCAGTTTTTCTAATTCATCAGAAAACAGATAACAGCCACCAGTTTAAACTCTGAAGAGAACACTGGAGTGATTTTTTTGTGATCGTTGAGCTGTCAACTGCTCTTACAGCTTTCACTCAATAGCCCAGTTGTGTTGGAGAAATTATGATTCCTCACCTCCAATTTTGTTAAATACCTACAAAGACCAAGGCCTTAATATAAGGCCAACAGAGAGGCCATATTTCTGGTCCTCTCAATTCCTACCCCACATAAGACCAAGGCCAGCAGTAACTGGAGAAAGACAGCAAGGCCAAGTGGGCACTGCCTCCCTCTGTGACACACTAGGCACGGGTAGTAATAGTGATGTGCTGTGACTTCCTGAGGTGTTCAGTCCAGGTATCACAAGGAAATCATCAGACAAATGCGCAGTGTATACCTATGAACAGAAGAGCTGGTAGGTTTTCTTTAGTCAGCATCACCACAAAAAAGATGACAAAATGAAGAGATGACATTTGGTTTTGAAAAACATACATAACATACATATGTATGGTAGTACCTGGGGTCACAAATGTGATTCTTTCTGTGATTCTGGTTACAAACTGAATTGGATAAGAACTGAATGAAATTTCTTCACAAGGTCAACACTGAGTCTCGCTCTTGAATTGGATTTGGTTCTTGTCCAATCCTTGTCTTTGATGCCGTCACTATTCTATTGCTCCATGGCTGCTCTGTAAGGCCAGGATAAGCTGATTGGGCCAAAAGTTTTGATGTCTAGTTTCTGACCATGTCTTATTTTCAGGGCTGAAAATATGTTAGAACTTTTTTTTTTTTTTTTTTTTTTTTTTTGTCTTTTTCATTTTTTATCGGTACCGGGGATCAAACTCATGACTACCTGCTTGCAAGGCGGGTGCTTATACCGCTGAGCTAAAACCCCAGCCCTATGTTAGAACTTTTGAAACACAAACCGGTCCTCTCCTTTTTGTCTCACATTTGTAGATGAAATTGACTTGTTTGTAGAGGACAAGTCGGTGGTTGTCTGGCTCCTGGCCTACATTTGGTTGCAGTATGACTCTTTCTCTTTTTTAAACTCAGCCTAAACATATGGTGAAGAACAGCAGCTGGCAAGCACGTGTGTTAGTACCACGTGCTTCTTGCCTCTGTCTGCCTGCAGGCAGTGCCCACTTTGTACTTTGCTTGTTCCTTCCTGTTGGCTCTGTTCACCTGGCCAAGGAGGCATCCATAGGAGCTGTCTAGAAGGTAGAAACACTGCGCCTTCTATAAATTTGAAGCAGAGTCTAGGAAGCTGCTTTGAGAATGTGTAAACATCTTAGTTTTCAGTGTTTTTTCTTTAAAAATTTTACCAGTTTGTGTCATTGCTACCAATGTTTTTTATTTATTGACTTTCTAGCATTCTAATAAAAATCTAAAACACTGTCTCCTTGAGTTTTAATTTTAGTCCAAAACTAATATTAACATTAGTGCTATTGCTTTTCAGTAATGACTCGTGGAGGTTTTATATTCAATGTTACAATATTTTATTACTATTATTGATTTGATGAGTAAGGATAAAAACCAATATAAACACTCCCATTTTTCTATTTAATTCTACAATTTCCCATGGTTTTTAGGTTGCAATTATTATATGTAATAGATTATATTCTTTATAGTTCTGTCTTGTTATTTGTGCATGTGTATTCTGTTTGGTATTTAGGAAATGTTGTTTAGCTTATTTTAATGTTACTGTAAATTATTTTTGACAATTTTAGTTTCCTTTACCTGGAAAATATCTAATATTTGGCTTATGAATTTGATGTAGTAATTTTTAATTCCAGATGTCCATGACCAATGACATTATTCATTTTCTTTATTTCTACTCAATCATGCCTGCCACTGGAGTATCATTCCCCTCATTTAAATATATTCCAATTACATTTCTCCCATCTCTTCACACCTTGATTGTTGGGTGACATCAAAGTTGGATATATTCATGCTCACTCTGTGTTTAAACTCAAATGCTCCCAAACTATTTCTTTTTTAGTGAAGTTCATTGTTGAGAAATTTTCATCAGGAAAACAGGCTTCTCTTAAGCTTTCAAACCTAATATTTCTTCTCCACTGCTTTTACACAGGGCTATATTGGAGGATAAGAAGGCACTTGCCTCAAGTGATCTTTTTTTGTATATTTGAAAATATTGCTTTTTTGGGGGGGGATGAGCATGTTATACATTTGGAATCTGGGCTTTATTTTGTTGTACTAAGCCTTTCAACTTTTACCAGTTGTTTTATTATTTTCTTCTCCATAGGCATGTGGAGAATGCTTCTGCTCAGGTCTCTTTCCATAGTTCTGACTTCTCAAGTTTCAGCCTCACCCTGGAAAAGTCCCTTCCTGTCACCTCCCTTGTGGCCCTGCTCTATTATCTGAGTGTCAGAGGTACTTTGGAATTACCTACAAATTGCCTACATTTACTTTTTAAGAATGATTCTCCCTGTAATCTGTCATGAAGCAGATTTCCCTCCTTTATTTGTGTAGTCTTAACTCTTTGCTTGGTTTCCCAGAGTTTCTGAACAAAACCATTTGAAGTTTCTAATATACTTTGGCTCCTGGTTTTTTGGGAGCAGAATTACGAATGTTTTTCTGACATTTGCATTAATGCATAGGTCTTTTGAAGCATAGGTTGAGGCATTCTGTAACTATTATCCTAGAATGGATCCACACTCAAGAGTTTCAGTAGTGTTTAAAAATATACAGAAGTCTACAAAACCCCAATATTCATTTGCCAGTTTCAAATATTCCCACCTTATTACTGAAATTTTAATATGTAGAATCTCTGGACTCTTACCTTTATAAAATTATTTAAAACCACCCCTTGATTGGGTATTGAATCTTTAGTAACCTGGGGGCAGTTTTTAAAGTACAAATGCTTTTTAAAATTATCATAATTGTGTTACAATAATTTTCTTTCTTTCTTTCTGTCTGTCTGTCTTTCTTTGTTTCTTTTCTTTCTTTCTGACTTCCTTCCTTTTCTTCCTTCCTTCTGCTACAGAGGAGTGACTTCAAGACCTTTGCACTGAACTACATCTCCAACTCTTTCTTATTTATAATTCTATTTTGGAGCACATTCTGGCTAAGTTGCTCAGCTTAGGCTTGAAATTGTAACCCTTCTGCTTTAGCCTTCCAGAACTCTGTGATTACAAAACTAAGCCACTAATAGTAGTTGGATCCTATTTGACAAGGGCAAGTGCCTGCAAAGGAAATTCTTGGGTAAGAGGAAGGGAGAGGTAGGATTTATCCACCTGTAGGGAGTCAGACCAGTTTTATTTTTCTGATTCCGGGGTGTTATGTCTCACACTCTGAATTCTGCCTCTGTCGATTTCAGGTCAGATCTCCATGTGCCCTTTCATTTAGTTGGACCATTTCCTTCCACTGGTTAAATGCAGTTTGGGTTTTGCTTCTCCATCCTGAGAAGATGGAGAAGTTCAGGTTCAGGGAGGCAGTTGCACCATATTTGCTTTGCCCCTTCTGAGACTGGGAGTTTGTCCTTTATCACTAGAAGACTCAATAGGGAAATGGCCAACACATTGTATTGGGGTAATAGAGCCTGGTATCCTGTCC